TTCTATGCTCATTGCACTATGTGACCACGGATTACCCAAGGCACTTGCTGATGTTGTCTAGGAGTTCTGTAAGGATCCATCCTTGACCTTTTTAATGCCAACAACTCCATCAACTTCATGATTATGTAAGTTTATTTTAATTTGTTCGGGATCCCAATTTGAAGTTTTCTCGTTTCATCCTTTCATTGTCACCATGTTAAAACATTCAAATGGCTTTTACCCTATGAGAATCCTTGCAGTTTCTATGTATGTTGTACTTTCTTCATTAAAAAGTATTCTGTATGATTTGAGACACTAAATATTATGCCAAAATTATAGACATTTTATAGAACATATGTTTATACAAGGCTTAACTCTTCAGCATCAAGTGGATTTTATGTTAGGATCTATAATCAAATAACTGTTTACTTTCAAATTTTGGGTCGTAGAACATCAAACTCACTTAATATAGTTTGGAACACTAGTAATTCTTCTACTATTTAGTGCCTTTTGTCTTTGAAGAAAATACAGCCCGAAGGTTATTTCAGTTGTTGGTAAATCTTATTAGATTGGGTTTTGGGGGTCCATTTGATAAACTAAATGAAAAGGTGTCAATTGATTAAGAATTCTCGATGATTAGAAGCTTCATGTGGTACTGAAACCGAATGAAAGTGTCGTGTATATGAAACATCTGAGTAACATGAATAACCAAACTGAACCAATCGATCCCAGTATATTCTGTTAGGGGGTGAAGTGAGATATATGCAGAATTGACCTCTACCCATAATCTATGCTATATTAATAAGCATGGATAACAGTTATTTGTTGAATTTTAAGAGGTATACTATTGGTTGCATCATGTGCAACTAGTTAAGCTCCTTTAAATTCTACGTGTTTTGTTTAATAGAAAGTATTTACACTATGTATTTTTGTTTACATTTTTCGCAGTTTTACCCTCTGCAGCATTCGTGCAGGTACATTACTAGTTCTATTTAAGCAGTTTGTTTTTCAATAAATTTACGTATATGATAGTCAAAATCATTTGATACAAAACATTGTAATGTAATTCTTAAAACTACGATTCACGAATTCTTTCACTTTCAGATTCTCAAAACAATTGTTAAGCTTTTCTTATTATAAATAATAAAGATACTTGTAGGTAGTTAACGCCTAACCAGAAGGGATTAGAAATTGTCGGAACTTGGTTTAATAGCGAGAAACCTTGTCCCACATAGGAGAGCCAAGGAAACTTCACCACTTAATAAACACCAACCCTTGAGCATTAAATGAAGTAGGTAAAAGCTTGGGCCTTGGTGTGTGGTGTTTCATGGTGGGCTCTCCTTGATACACGTATACATGTAAGGTCAAAAGAAAGGCCTTGGGGTCTCTCGATCTGGTATGACCCGACCAGCACGACAGTTGTTTCTTTCTCCTCGTATGCGTTTTTCCCCTATCGCTGCATACAGAACGTAAGAAAAGCTGTTCTGGTTTCTCTCTATTTTTCGTACAACATCCACTACAACAAAATCCGATTTATAAGACACTCTCAAATTCTAAGTGTCCTAATAGACGTCTTTATAGGACTTAGTTTATAGGACCAAAAAAATAAAGTGTCGTAATAAATTTATGTGGCGTTTTTTGACGTTGTAATAAGTTTTTTAGGACGCTTTTAATATAAAGCATCCAATTATCAACTTTATAGGACACTATTTGAAAAATTCTCCTATAAAAATAAATGTCCTATATAAAAAATTAAGTTTATAGGACACTTTCTCAAAAGTGTCATATAAAGTTGTTATGCGATACTTTGTATTAAAAATGTCTTAAAAAACTTGTTAAGACTCCCAAAAACGTCATATAAACTTATTACAACACCTTTAGATATGACGCTTTATATTTTGGTCCTATAAATTAAGTCCTATAAAACAGTCCATTGGGACGCTTAGAGATTAGGGGTATCATATAAACCCAATTTTATTGTAGTGATTCATCACCAAACGTAGATTAATTTCGCCAGATTCAAGTGCAAACTTGAATTCGATTGTTGTATCCTCTAGACGAACACCAATTATACCAGCGAATTTTTGTCTTAGGACACTGCGATTGTGCATGCTTCAATCGAGATCAATATCACGAAGAATCTGCAATATCAACTATATTTCTTCGATTCTATCCTTATAGATGTTAATTATGTTAGTTACACAGATTTGTATTACTAGTTTACGTTTTTTTTTAATAAAAATCATTTGTTTATCCTACAAATTCTTTCAATTTATATGTATCTTTCTGTTTTGGATTGATAACTCCTGACAATCATATCTCACAATTTTATATTAATATCTGATATATTAAAGTTTAAAATTTATATAAAAAAATAAAAATACAGTAAAAATTTAAAGAGCCATTACATGGGTACTTGTGTCTTTTCTCAAATTTTGGATTAACTCCTTCATAGTACACAACCAGACATGTGGTCCCTAACTTTTGATGTTCATTACACTTCCATGTAATTAAATACTTTCTAATTGGGTTCATTAATTAGCACCTCACATGCCCCCTCACATTTCACATGAGGGGCAATTTCGACATTTTAAACTTTGACTTAATTGTTAGTTTTTTTTCCACATGATGAAAACTCAAACATCTTAAAGGGTTGTTTACAAAATGTTTACCCGTATAAGCACTTACCAAGTCATACTACCTTACCGGATGAATATGGTAAGAATCAAGAATCTTATCTGGTAAGAGCGAGACAAGGACCAAGAATGTTACCCGGTAAGTGAGGCAATGACTCTTACCATGGTAAGCCATGAGCGGACCTACCATGGTGGTTAAGGTGGCACGTGTCACCGTATTATTTCTCCGTCGAAGGGTAACGTGAAAGGTGCAGCCGTATTAATCTGTTGTGTGCTACCGTATGTATTTTGAAACTACAATGAGAACAAGTTTTATTTGGTAAAGTTGGTTTGCAAGGCTTTTATTCCAATCCAGACCCAATTCAAATCTTGTTAGTGTCATTTTCTTAGTCAAATAGTGCCACCGATTGGAAAAAAAATTATGTATATCTATTTCTTATAGTCATCAGGTGCCATTGTTTGAAATTTTTTCCCTATAGTTTTTTCTTATAGTCAAATGGTGTCACCGTTTGAAAAAAATTATAGGTCCATCCCTGGGTAAAATGTTGCATACAATGTCGTTTTTGTAGACCAAAAATCTTACCCGATAAGTAAATAACAATGTTAAATTTTACCGGTAATCACTTACTGGGCAAGTGTTTGGTAAACAGCACCTTACTCTCTAATCCAAATCCAAATTCAAACCCTAATATCTTCTTTATAAGAAGATTGGAAGAAGTAACAAGGGAGGAAGTTGAACAAGATAACGATAATACAGACCTCGATGAAAGAGGGAGAGGGCGGACAATTCTAGGGCGTAAATGGAGACGACGTTGGAGTAGAGATAGTCCTAAGTGGGTCAGAGATATTTTGAGGTAACTGTGGACGAAAATTGCAAAGTAACGCATGATGATCAGGATATTGGGCCTTCTTCAAATATTTATCGTTCTTGAGTGGAAACTGCCAGTCTTTAAAGGGTTTTAAATGGGATTATGGGTTGTTGGTTGACAACGGGAGGTATTGGGGGAACATCTTTCTTTCTCTGTTTCTATTGTCGGAACATTCAAAGGGTCGGGTTTTATGCCAGTGGGTTGGTTTGAACTTTGAAGGAGGGTCTGAGTTCATAATGGAGGTATGTCGATCTATATATAAGAAAAATGGTTCAAGTCTAACCAATATGTAATTCCAACAAGTTTCGTACAACGATTTGGTGATAATAAATTCAGTTTGTCTCTTCTAAGAAAACAAGAGCATGAAACAAAAGATATTGTAGAACAAGAACCTTCAAGAATTTAGAAAATCGATACAAGATGAAATGTCCATATTGCCCTTCATGTAAAAGGCACATCAAGATGAACAGCTGAATCCAATTAGACGGTATTAAGTTCTATAAGGGACCATCAATAAATTCAATGTGTTTAAAGACGGGAACCAAGAATATAACTCACTCACGTGTTATTTAAATATATGTATTTTTGATGGTTTTGTTCTATATATATATATATATAGGGGAGCGATCAAATGCAAACCACTCAATTTGTACAAACCGTGCAAACCGCATTCAACCAATCATAATTTTTCATTTTGTTCATTTTTTTATAATTATGAGAGGTTGATTAATCATTTTTATTATGGATGGTGTTAATCATAGATATTATCATCTTCATTATTTTAATTTTAGAGAAATACATGAAACAGTTTCATTAATGTTAGAGAAATACATGAAACAGTTTCATTAAGTATTATATGAAACAATTTCACAACCATATATGAAACAACTTCATCAAAAAAAAGTATTATATGAAACAATTTCACAAGATTAAACAATTTCATGAAAAAATTTCATAAGATTAAACAATGAAATCGACAGATGAAGGTGGTTTGCACGGTTTACACAAATGAGGACGGTTTTCATATGATCATTCCTCTATATATATATATATATATATGTTTAATTTAATTTTATAAAACAAACTGATAATTTTATTTTTATACTTTTTTTATTAACCTGGACATTCAATTCGTTATGCGAGCTGATCAATCTCAGGACGACCACCTGCTTTGCAGATAGTCCAGAGTCACCGCATTTGAACCTCTATAACCATAAAGGGGTTTTTATTTCTTATTGGATTTGAACCGAAGACCTACATGTACTTTTGACTTTGGAAATTATGTGTTTTGGAGTTCTTGATAAAACTTTATGGGACTCCACAAAAATTGGACACATCAATTGTATGAAAATACGATTTGAAACCAAATTTGATACGTCCCTTTCCCATTATAGAAAGAAGGTCAACTATAAAGTCAACAATAAATTTGTTGTGTTATAAATAGATGTGATATGTATGCATTTGTATACACATCTCAACTCCCACATAATTTTCTTATCTCCAAAACCGGTATTATATAATATTAAACACATGGTGGTGGCTCAGCCGTCTGGTTCCGGTGGTGGTCGTGGCGGTGGTCGTGGTGGAGGAGGAGGGATGAAAGAATTTACAAGCTTGAGCCTCCAAGTCATCACCGGCCGGTGGTTCATGGTGTTTGCTTGCCTTCTCATCATGTCAGTCGCCGGAGCCACCTACATATTTGCTTTATACTCCGGCGACATCAAAACCTCCCTTGGATATGATCAAAGCACCCTTAATCTCCTTAGCACCTTCAAAGATTTGGGTGGCAATGTCGGCGTCATCTCCGGTTTAATAAACGAAATCTCACCGCCGTGGGTGGTGCTCCTCCTTGGCGCCGCCATGAACTTCTCTGGGTACTTCATGATTTGGTTGGCGGTCACCGGAAAAATCGCGAAACCACCGGTTTGGCAAATGTGTTTGTTCATTTGCATTGGTGCAAACTCACAGACTTTTGCTAACACCGGAGCTCTGGTAACTTGTGTCAAGAACTTCCCGGAAAGCCGAGGGGTGGTTTTGGGGCTTTTGAAGGGTTTTGTAGGGTTAAGTGGTGCAATCATCACTCAATTATATCATGGTTTTTATGGGCATGATCCAAAATCGTTGATTTTGTTCATCGGATGGCTTCCGGCGGCTGTTTCCGTCGTCTTCCTTCGAATCGTTAGGGTTTTAAAGGTTTTCCGGCAAACAAATGAACTGAAAACTTTCTATAATTTTCTGTATATTTCATTAGGGTTAGCAGGGTTTCTTATGGTGATCATCATAACTCAAAACAAGCTTCAGTTTTCAAACGTTGCTTATGCAACCACTGCTTCAGTTGTTGCCGTTTTACTCTTTGCACCCTTGAGTATCGTTTTTAAAGAAGAATTCAAGCTTTGGAAAAGAAGACAAGAGGTGGTTAATCAGTTTCCGGTGAAAGTAACCACCGAGAACCCACCCATGGCCACCACAACTGATTCGTCGGCCGCCCCCACCCCACCACCAGAAACTTCAGTTTCTTGCTGGAAAACCGTTTTCACTCCACCGGAAAGAGGAGAAGACTTCACTATCTTACAAGCCGTTTTCAGCATTGACATGCTTATACTATTCACCACCACCACCTTCGGCGTTGGCGGAACCCTAACCGCCATCGACAATCTCGGCCAAATCGGTCGGTCTCTCGGATACCCGAAAACCAGTATCACCACCTTCGTCTCCCTGGTGAGTATCTGGAACTATTTGGGTCGGGTCGCATCGGGTTTCGTCTCAGAAATCTTGTTAGCCAAATACAAATTCCCACGGCCATTGATGCTGACGTTGGTGCTGTGTGTTTCTTGCGTGGGTCATCTCTTAATTGCTTTTGGCGTTCCCAATGGGCTCTACGTTTCATCCATCATAATGGGTTTTTGTTTTGGTGCTCAATGGCCATTAATTTTCGCAATTATATCGGAAATATTCGGGTTAAAATACTACTCGACGTTGTACAATTTGGGGGGCGGTGCGAGCCCCGTGGGGGCGTACATCCTCAACGTGGTGGTGGCGGGACGGCTTTACGACAAGGAGGCGGAAAGACAAATGAGAGCCCGTGGAATGGTTCGAAAAGAGGGGCAAGATCTCAGTTGCATTGGAGTAGAGTGTTATAAAATGTCGTTTTTGATTATAACGGTTGCAACGGTGTTTGCGTGTTTTATTTCGTTCGTTTTAGTGATTCGAACGAAAAAATTCTACCATGGTGATATCTACAAGAAGTTTCGAGACGCCCCAGATGTGGCAACTGCTCATACTGAGATGGTGGTTCAGCCTGGGACCGCCAAAGATCCACCGATACAACCGTCGGACAGAAAAATAGGGGAGGAACACAATAATTGAGATATATCATAGAGGAAAATGAAAAGAAAGGCAATATATCACGTTATAGAACTTGTTCATCGGGTCACTTTGTACTTAACTCGACTAATTTCAGTTATCTTAAAGTTAATAATCAAACGAACGTTTAATGTCCCTAATCAAACTAGGGACCACCGAAAAGCAAATATATTATCTTATCACTTGAGCTATCTTTATTAGTAACCAGAAAGGTATTCACGCAATGCAGCGATATACATCTTCATTTTAATATTTCGTTTTATTTTTTTGTCTTTATTGATGTAATACGGTTTATGTAGTTTCGATAAAGATAATGTTTTTTGTTTTAAATAAAAATAAATTTGGAAAGATATCATAAAATTTTGAAAAAATATGTCGACATTAATATTAAATTAACTATTTAAATGTTTTCGTTTTTATACAATTTCTTTAATTCAATTTTTTATTATAATTTAATTTATGTTTAATAGTAAAGTGATTTATTTTTGGCTTAACAATATAATTTAATAAAGATAATGATTATGTAATAATTCAATGATTTTAGATTTTTTATATTTAAAATGATATGTTTATCATGTATTTGATTATGTTTATCTGCAGTTAGTTACACGAATTCAGATATAGAGCTTTAATAAGTTGTACTTACGTACAATCTACTTGCAATCTTGAGTTATAAGTAATATGCATTAATAAACAATACTTTACGCATAAAAAGTGATTTTTAAGAGTTTTTGTCAAATACTTTATAATATAGTATAGATTTTGAGTGTTCTTTTACAAACTCAATCATTTGCATGCACAAATTTACAAACCAAATTACATATGTGAAAATGTAGTATTTATACAGTGTTGTTTCCTCTATGAAACTTAATTAACTCTCAGAACTGTTTTTTTCCGTACACAAAACAGTCTTAAATGTTTTCCATATGAAACAACACTGTATAAAGACAGTATTTCACGAATGTTGTTTCTTATATGTACATGAAAATTGATTTAGAAGTCTATTAGGTTTGTAAATAATCAATGCCACTAGAAATCATATTTTCTTTTATTAGTTATTTTAAAATTTTATATACATAGAGGTGAGTTATTATGTAACTCTTTATATTCTTATAGCTCTTACAACCAAATTAGAAGCGTCCATTTAATAATCAAGAGTCACCATTTGATCTGTTACAACTATCTTTAATTAAAAAAAATGGACGATGGATAAGTTGGTTAGATCAATTGTATAATCTAGATGAGTTGTATTTGAACATCCCTTTCTTTCTCTCTCTTTCTCTCACTCTCTCTCTTTCTCTCTCTCTCTCTCTCTCTCTCYCTATATATATATATATATAGAGAGAGAGAGAGAGAGAGAGAGAGACTTGGAATCATGTGAAAAAATAGTTTATTTTTGTGAGATCCGTGAGATCACATTTTACGCTTGAAACTTCACAAAAACACTGTGAATGTAACCTTCATAGCGTTTTTATTATGAAGGTTTAGATATTTTTTTTCTTCACAATGTTCTGCTGTGAAATTTCAAGTTTAAAAATATGGTCTTACGGGTCTCACGAAAACAGGTTGGTCTCACGTGAACCCAAATTCACGTGAGACCAACCTGTTTTCGTGAGACCTATGAGACCACTTTTTTATACTTGAAACTTCACAGCAAAATGTTGTAAAGGTTAACAAAAGTCGAACCTTCACAGCAAAAACATTATGAAGGTTAATTTACAGCGTTTTACTGTGAAATTTCAAGTGTAAAAGAATGGTCTCACGGGTCTCACAAAAACAGGCTGGTCTCTCGTGATTCCAGTCTATATTATATATATATATATATATATATATATATAGGGAAGCGATCAAATGCAAACCACTCAATTTGTACAAACCGTGCAAACCGCATTCAACCAATCATATATTTTCATTTTGTTTATTTTTTTGTAATTATGAGAGGTTGATTAATCATTTTTATTGTGGAGGGTGCTAATCATAGATATTATTATCTTCATTATTTTAATTTTAAAGAAATACATGAAACAGTTTCATTAATTTTAGAGAAATACATGAAACAGTTTCATTAAGTATTATATGAAACAATTTCACAACCATATATGAAACAATTTCATCAAAAAAAGTATTATATGAAACAATTTCACAAGATTAAACAATTTTATAAAAAAAAATCATAAGATTAAACAATGAAATCGACGGATGAAGGTGGTTTGCACGATTTACACAAATGAGGGTGGTTTTCATTTGATCACTCATCTATATATATATATATATATATATATATATTATATAGATATATAATATAGGGGTCAATTCAAAGGAGAACTGATTAGTTTGTGATAACTATGAAATCTAATCTCAACCACAAATCAATGAATAAATTCGAAAATTAATATTTTTCGTAATTTGACTTAAAATTATAATTAAAGAACATTTTAGATATTAAAAATTCTTTATCTCTCCTCTCTCTCTCTCTCTCTCTCTCCTACCTCCGGCCTCCGACGAACATAATGTGATACCCAAAATACACCAAGATACACAATGTGATACCCAAAATACACCAAGTAAACTTTGAGACCACTGTGATACCAACTATGGTACCACTGTGATACTAGGTGTTGGGAATGCTCACCGGAGAGTGTTTAATGGTCGATCATCGAAGACGGCGTCTTGGTCAGACAAGATGATCGGAGGAGGTCACCGGAATGGTGGTGGGTGCTAGAGAAGGCCATCGGATTTGGTCCCTATGTGTTCGTGTGTGTGTGTATATACACATATATTAAAATAACTAAACTAATTAGTGTGTATTTAAAAGTTAAACTAATTAAAGTAAATTGAATAATCAACACAATTTACTGATTTAACTTTTGTTTTATTTTAGTAAATAACATTAATTATCTAAAATGATTGGCTCATATTGGATATCACAGTCACCACAAATTATCAGGTTTTCATTTTGATTAGACCCCTATATCTATACTATATTATAAAGCATTTGACACAATCTTTTAAAAACAACTTTTTAAGCATTAAGTACTACTATACAATGCTAATTTACTTAATTTTCAAGATTACAAGTAAGTTGTGTGTGAATACAACTTATTAAAGCTTAATGTTTAAATTCGTGTAACTAACTGCAAATAAACATAATCAAATAAAGAATAAACATCTCATGTTAAATATAAAAAATACTTAATAATTATCTTTATAAAATTATATTATTAAAACAAAAATAAAAAATTGAATTAAAGAATACACAAAAAGGATAAATTTTTTAATAGTTAGTTTAATACTGATTCCAATATTTTTTTTTCATTGTTTTATGATATATCTTCGTATTTATATTTTATTCAAATATAAAAAACATTATTCAAAACCACATCAAACTGTATTATAACATCGACCGAGAAAAAAAATTAAACATTAAAATTGAAATGTATCTCGTTGCATTGTGCGAGTACCCTTCTAATATATATATATAAAATAACATACACGCGTGAACACGCATATTTAACATCGTTATCACTATTTAAAATATCAATAATTGAAATATCGTCAAAAATTTGATTTTGTTGATAGCAATAATTGAGACATTAAAAGTTTGATTTTGACACAACATCCTTTTAATTGTGAAGTTTTTAGATAACCATATCGATTAAAATAAGTATATATATATCTATACTATATTATAGAGCATTTGGCTAAAACTCTTAAAAACTCTTAAACTCTTAAACTCTTAAAACTCTT